CCCGGTGTTGCAAACAAGGTTATGTGACGAAAATACATCCTCCTGGGTACACGTATATGAATGAACGGACAAAAAATTACCGCATACGCATGCCTGACAATAACCGCGAAACCGGTTGTGTGCCTCCAGGGAAATTGTGTCCAGTCATTCACATACTACTTATTATGATGCCAACGCAACAGCAATAGTAACAGAGATGGGCGGGATTCTGAGACCTTGGCAACAGAAAAGTTTGCATGCAGAAGTAGCAGAAACGAAACCTCCAGATCCCACGGCCTTATAAATAGATCTGATAGATCCATTTTCATTTGAATTCAATATGACGAGTAGAACGCACCAGAGACAGTGGTTGCGCGATGACGAAAATTGCTGATAGAGATGAAATCACCAGAGGCGATAAATCGGTCTGCAACGTTACCATTCGCTTCTTTAGCGAACATTATCGGGAGAAACACAGAAGTGTACTTCCCCCAAATGGATAACAAAGCACGCTGGAGTGCTAAGGTTTAAGGAAAATCGGATAGGAGTAGCATCCTTGAACTGGTGTGTTCCTCGGGCATAACACACACTGTTGGTACACCATCAATCACCCAAATCTCAAGTGTGATTCCTGGAATTTGATGTATTTCTTAGTGGCCTTATCCCGTTAGAGCGCTTGATAGGTGGGTTGAGTTAGGTTGAAGGTAACAGAGGCCTAGACGCCTAGATTGCGCAGGGCATGCGAGCACAGCTTCTCTTTAACGGACGCAAAAGATCAACCGTTCTACCGTCGAAAATGCGTAGATCATTGGTTTACAACCAGACCAAATGGAGTGCAAGTGAGATTCAATATACATGAATTCTCTATCTTTACCTTGAATCTGTTCTCAACATTCCAAGTTTTATTCTGCTCTTTTATTCAAGTGGGCAGCCAAAAGAGTGAAAAAACCGGCGCACGAAAATGCATGGTCAATGGTTATTAAAACTGAAACTCTGGGGAGAAATCGGCAACCATGTGCCAACACCTATTTTTGAAATTCCTACGCAATTAATATTCATTTTTAAACTTTTTACTCCATATTTCTTTGAATTGACGATGCTTTCTTTCTCACTTTTTTGTGACTGTATGAGACGATAAATGTTCCTGGAGTGCAAGAAGCTGAGAATCCATCCATTAGGATGAATAGAGCGATTTTTGACTTGACTTGTAACAAACTCCGGTGAAACTACATGATTTGCATGAACCTGGTTAATCCTTTCCGAGGAGGTAGACGAAGTAAAGTAAAAGAACACTGGACCATCTCGCCAATTTATTTTATGAGAACGCACTCCTGGTCTATCACTGAACTGAGAAGGGGTTGACCATCCACACTCATCGGTTGTTGGTGTTGGAGTTTATAAACATTGTAGGATAAGCCATACGTCACTTGTGATTCACTACACAACCCCACTCTCCTAACAAAACACACGCACAAGACTTTCGGCTCGAACCACAGTATGAAGCTATGTGGAGACGATATTGGACGAGAAGGGCAATAATGGAAAACCAACAGATACGTACGATTGTGAACGTGACATCCGGAGGGACTGTGACCGATTTCTGATGATAACGAAAGCGTCGATACGTCTGTGTTTTCTCGCGAATCGCTGGTCGTTTCAGAACGCATGTGATCTAAACAGAATAGGAATCACAAGAAGCGGCGAGGAATACCAATGTTACAACGTGGCTAGATTCACACACACAGAACTTCATGCATGAAATTCAGGACATTAACCTTACCTACCGAAGTAGACAATACAAACAAAACCGAGAGGGGGCGGTAGTAATGCATTAAGGTACTGATTTGGGGTCTAGTAATCACCAATTTCGTATCAAATGAAATTGAACACCGCAGTTTGGACTGGATAAACGGAAGCAAAATATATCCAGCAAACCGCAGCCCTTTCAACGCAATATAACTATCCTTGTTGGTGAGCACACGCTCAACACTTGCAATTCCCACAAGTAACGACTGTTTGTCATACTCCGACGTGAAAAAGTGACGAAAGGATACAAAAAGCGAATTATATTACCAGAATATGAGAAAAATAAGTTCTTTATAATGCCACCTGGGAAAACGCACCATATTTGGTTCCTCCCATACGTAACGACCTTGAAGTAGGTTGGGTGAGTTGGATTCCGAGTCCGTCAGGCCGCTAGTGCAATCCTCACCATCGATAGGTGTGCCACTTTTCTTTGCTCGACCCAAGGCGCTGACCACGTCGCTCGGATCGGATGAAGAGGTAAGCATTTCAACACGCCCATCGGTATGGAAGCGAATGCCTCGATAGTAAACTACCAAGTGCACCGGACGATAATAGTCCGTGAATGTGGGCTCGCCCATACGCACATAAGAAATGCGACAAAGGTAACAGCCTGCAACAACAGATACGGGAAATCAGTCAACAGACGGCATAAGGTCTGATTGAAGCGAGAGAAGTTAGAAAAAATCATCATCTGAGTGGAAGAAAAACACTGGGAGCTCAGATCAACAATACAATAAACCTGAGGATTTAAGTTGAAGGACATGATGGAGAGGAAGAGAAACGATACAGATGAAAGGGGCGATAAATCTCCGAATTTAGTCTAGCCTACACCAGGTTTAAACTATATGCAACGACTGTTTTCATCGCATGAGAACGAGAATGGTTTCAATTCCGAGTCGAGTTTCCATTCACAAAATATGATAAATACTATGAAGGATGCATCAGAGAGGCTGCTCAGTTCAGTATCCAATCCTGGTGCAACAAAAGACAAGGCTCATTTAAATCTCGAAAGAAATCATTACCTAAGGCGATCGAAAAACTGAGATTTTTCAAGAGTGTCCAAAAGTTTTGTTGATCTAAACTTCGTATAGTGATGCTGAGCTTCTATGTAATGGAAGATCGTCCGCCTCAAACGAACTGCATACTACTTTGTGTTGCTAAATGAATGTTTATCAGTAAAAAACTGATTTTGCCGCAGAATTTTGCTAAGACAATGGAAAGCGGATATGAACCAATCGTTGTAGTTTGAAGTGGTCACACGCTCACTGTTGGTCGAATTGTGGAAAAAAGCAACGGACAGAGCAGTACAACTAAGAAAAAATAGACAATTTTATTTAAAAGCTCTCACTGATTTCTGACCGTATCATCGGAAAACCAAGGTAATGGGAAACGCTATGAATACAGACCGTGTTGAGCGCAGAGATACGAAGAGAGAAAATAGTAGGAATCTTTTGTCATAGAATACCTTTGATGTACTCGTCAGTGTTGACACTTCTAGCTATTACACTTCACGAATTCGGCGCTATCATTGAAACAGTCCTCGATAGAACAAGAAACGTAATCACTGGGCTAATCCAGAATCACGCAAAACACAAAGACCAACATGTATTTACAAAAGAGTTCAGCGAATTGTCACGGTCGGGTAAACAAACTCAAATTGTTATGCCGTGCAAGCATAAGACAGAACTTAAGATGTCAGCAGATTATGTAACGTAGAGCTGTTCCTACTGTATGATAAAGATCACTAATCCAAAACACTTCGATCAACACAATCGACCAAAATGTAATCAATTCCTATTGTTGCTACATTAGATTGCATTCAGCGGTCTCCGGTTCAATTCTATATAGTGTAAAATGTTTGAGACTGAACCCCATTTCGGTAGATAGCTTCGATCTATAAAGAGGATAACATTTCAGAGCCTCTCGGACGGCAGCGGTCGGGCCGTTTCGGTAACCATTACATTACTCTGGAAGTCCAGTGTTCAAATTCTGCTGATGCACCACATTTCTACTAATCACATAGAAGTCCTTTGATTGGTCAAATGCCACCTTTCTCAAAATTGCTTATAAGAATATGTAATACATAAAACGGGAGAAAAAGCATGGTAAAAGAACAATTTGGGCAGTTCTTTCCGTACGGAACATGTATCGATCGCTATATACTTCGCCAATTTCAGAACAAGCGATTACTGTAACAGTCACAACTGATAAGCTTAAGAAAAATGAACAGAGAGTAAACAAAAAGATTATACTTTCCAACAGGTTACTGGTCTCAACCAACAAAGAGGCAACTGATTTGAAGAAAGCAATCGTATTTATGTTCTTCTACCCAGCAGAGATGAACTTGACGTCTGGCATTAAAATAGTCAAATTACTAAGTATAGTATTGGGTATGTGAGATTGCAGAACTTAACACATTTCACTCGATTGGTTGCGATAGGCAAGAACGTAATCAGCTGGTCTTGGAGCAGGAGTTCACCGACAATTTCAACGTCAGTGACAAAGGACTAATGTATCACCAAATGTAGCATAGAATCTCACTCATTTGAAGTCGCAAAGGGAAACAGAGTATATGGAGAAAATAAAAAAGCTTTTGGGATGACAGCGATTGGAATATTTATTGACTGTTGAGGGACTATGCCAGGTTGGTGCTTGCGAATAAGCTAATTTACCAGCAATCGCTGGAAAAGAGGTTCATTTTCAAACCCTAAATGACAATCAATATATTCCATCACTTAGGAAAGTTGAGTATGAATCATCGGTGGTAAGCTGCTCGAATAGGATGGCGAAAATTCTGAAAAATCAGTACGCACAAGTTCCTGCTGCGTAGCGACTAGCTTGTCGTTTTCCTTATCTTTATTATCGTTTTCCGACCAACATATCACTTGCAGTTGCAAGATTAAAGTTAAAACTATCAATGGTGCAAGAGAATTCAGGCCCAGGCGCAGACAACATACACCAACAAACTGTTTGGCGAATCCTATGTGAGCCATTATCCGTTCTATCCCAACGGGCGTTTGCTCACACTGCATTCCGCAAGTGACGGAAACAAGGAATTATTGCACGCATTTACGATTGCGGCGGCCGCAGTGATTAAACCAGAAACTTCCCTGTAACCTTTTTCCTAGTGCTGAGGTTGACTTTGGTAAATTTCTTGACGGAACACAGCGCATATCGTTTTCTTCCCAGCTCAGCATGGATTCCGTAAAAAGCGATGTGTTATTAACTAGCGTTTAGTCCCCGATAGATGATATAAAGTAGTCGATGAATGAGGTGCAGTAGGTGTGGTTTAGCTGAACTTTCAACAGCATTCAACTACACAGAACAACCTTTAGAATTACGGCATGTCAGGTTTCGCGCTTGACTGGACGGAAGCTTTTAGCAACAATGGACTACCACATTACTGCACGTTTCTGAATCGCTATCACATCCTATGGACGATGACCGCGGGGTTTCTGTGCTAGGGTCTGGACTCAGATCCATGAGAAATACACCGCACGTAATAGGGCCAAAAACAGAACTGATAGCAGAGGATACCGAAGTTGGGAATACCGCGGTATAGACTGAGGGATTGCAGGAACTGAAGAAAATACTGAACGCGGCTTTTCGATGGTCTCCTAGGCACAAGAGTGAGAAAATAAAATCCTATCACTATGCCACAAGAGTCTATTCCTACAGTAGCTCGAAAATCAACAACTCCCAAATAAGTGAAGCAAAAAGATCAACTTCGTCAAGGTGTCTCCCACAGTTGTAACCAGTGGTTTTTTAAAGCCTATTACTGATCATTTAACCCTGTTTTCACGTCTTCCATTGGAGGATATACCATCTCAAACAGACTTCGTCATGTAGGCCTGGAAACCATGATATCAAATTGATCACAAGATCCTGGCCGCAAAGAACAGCCATCGAGACGGTCTGGGGCTTGTATTACAACATCTGTGTGCAGCGACTGAAATCATTGGGATTATACGCCGATGACATTCGACGGTATTAGATTTTTCTACCTCAAATATGGTATCAAACTAAATTTATATTGTTCAATGACACCTCAAATCCAATTCAGGAGACATCCATTCAAGTTGATGGTTCCAAAGTGCGAACGCAATGTCGGCGTCAATTTTTCACCATCAGAGGGTACCACGTTGTCTGAGTTCCAACAGTCGATTCATTTAAACTGATACTTAATGAGTCGTTGGTATACTTCGTAGCTCAACATTTGTGAAAGTTTGTACAACAATGAAACAGAGTTGAATCACGTGATATTTCTATAACTGGAACTGTAATGTTTATTTACCAGTTTGATTATAACACGATTCAACTTTGGAAAGAGCTTGCGGGGGGAAGGGAATCCAGAACTTGTAAGCAATTCCATACAAAACTGTGACTGTGACCATGCGAAGGAAGACCGGGAGGGAGAAAGTGCAACTTGCTGGTGGGGGGCGTTGGCTATATAGATTAGTAAGTCATAGGTAACTCGAGGAGGATGATACATTCGAAGGCAGTGGCCGTTTAACG